CAGAAAACAAAGATTGCTATCAGTACAAGACAAGCTCTTAAAACAAAAAAACGACGAGACTTATACACAAAACTGTTTATAGGTTTCTTGTACAAGCTTAAATCGATCGCCGCCGATACAGGTGCAGCCATTAAGGTGCAGCCATTCTATCCAATCCGCGATCTGACTGAACGCGAGAACTCGGTCGATTCGCGTAATATTCGCCGATCAATATTTCACTGTGCCTTCCTGATAATGTCCGTTAATAGCGCACTATTTGCAATCGCCTCGAATATACGCGATATACCAACCGATACGACTGGAAGTTGTAACTTGTTCATTACTTATAAACAACATTTCAATTAAAGAAACTCCCGTTTAGTAACTTTGAAATTTTCTCCATTTCACAAACCAGACAGACAATTTACAGCCGCAACAAATATAACAAATACTGTGTCAGAATGAAATCGAAGAAACAAAATTATTTAGTGGAATAATTTTGAATTATTCATTGAGAATGCAAAAGCAAAAGCGAATGTTATCTCGCATAGAAGTCGTGTTTTGCGTCAAGGAGAAAGTTTCTTGGATTTTCGATCGTAGGCGGAAACTTCTCGTATATACCATGATAGGTTCTCACTTTCTATACTTACCGAAAGCTCATTGCTTCCTGCTTACGATCCGTTTTTTAACGCAAAGTTCCATCTTTATTTTTGCAGATAAGTTCGATCGAAAATGTACTCATTTATGAAGTAAACGCGTTCTCTATTTAGAGGATATAGATTCAAAACAAAAAGTACTCATCTTGTATTAAATTAGTTCATAACTGTGTTCCTTGAAATTCCGTTATCTTTACACGTTGTACAACACGTAACACCAATAACGTGCAGCGAACGGGTTAATCCCCTTAGCCACGATCCGCGAACACGTGTTCCTCGATTTCGTGAGTCAGGATTGCGTGGCAAGGTGTCGCGGAGGAACGTGTGCGAACAGCATTCCAATAGCAATTCATAGCATATCACCGATAAGCGATGATAATGCATGTGACGAGCGCAACGTCAGCCCGAGGGAAATACCAGTACATACGTCCGTACATGCCTCCATTGAGAACGATTACTGATGGTGGAGGAAAAACTGCGATAAGAGAATTCCGTCGCACGCGTCTGTCACCGGACATGTCTGCTCGTTATCGACGAAATTCCTAGCGACGGTTAACGTAAGCCCTCACCGACATGACTCACAGCCGGTCGAGTACTACTCGTGTTTCCAGTACGTCACGACGATAATCTAAAATTATATTCTTAATCCGCTTACGATTATGCGACATAGCACAGGCTGCTTTTATCGATCCGTCGACCGCCCACGCGAATACACATTCGTCGGAATTCCCGACTATACGACTGATTGACCATAAGCTTACATATTGGGACAACAAACGGGCCGAACGGAGAAATCTGGTTAGTTTCCCTCATGGCGACGAAGCTGACTACTGTAATTCACAGTAAACTGATAATTTACACGTGCAGGATATTTAAAAATGAACTGAACGACGAACTTCTTGTTTACAAGATTCTTGTTTGTTCTTCGAGAGGAAAAAAACCTTATGAGTTGCTCTTGCAGAACAAATGCAATCAGGTCGACAGAGATTTGCATTAGATGAGCGTTACTATGGCGATACAACCACGATGCGCAGTTAGAAGACGAGACAATCGGTATTCTGACCAATTTATTTCGTGCTCACGATAATCGTTTCATCATCATGATCGATTGGTCGTATTCAAATACATTAAGAAGCTTTAGAAACTCAAAATTCGATTATATTTGACAGGCTACAATTACTATCGCATAATTATATTACAAAATAATCTGATACAAATTCTATGATTTATTCGTGAAATTTTTCGTCCGACATAATTTAATCATTTTACGGATACCATTGGCCGCCTAATACCGTGGTTTAATGAATTATGAATTAATAATTCGCTCCGTAACAGGTTTCAGCGGATCAACTACACAATATTTTATTATACAGCCGGCTACGTATTCTCTTTTTACTATCGAGTCGGTGGATTTTTTGTAACAAAGTCAAACTGGTTCCGCCGAGAGATCGTGTTGAATAAGCTGCCATAAATCTCGCTTTTCTCATCAAATATATTTCACTTTCTTTCTCTTCCGCGATTAATACGGATCGTTATATGTTGGCGGGAACTGTAACGGGATTTAATTGGGAAAGGTTCTGATAATTTTGTAGAGGTGTCCGTTTTCCGAGGTGATTGGCGGACCTCCTGGCCGATGTGTCCCCTCTGAGACCCATGTTAACCTTCCGTAATCTCCTTTATCGCGGAACTCCACTCCTGGAGACTGGTAGATAGTTCAACCATTTTTCAAACATTCTCAGACGACGGGAGACATTTTCTGCATTCTATTGTCGGGTAGAGGATCAGCAGATCTTTCAGCTGTTCTCTTCTCCTATGAGTGACCTAGGATACTCCTCGTATTCCCCTGACTGCAATGGACATCCGAAAGCCAAGCTTCGTATTCTTCTTCTCAGTTGGGCGACGGATGGTACATCACGTTCTCTCCCAACAGTGTTCAGCGTGAGAATGCCCATATTTTCTAATGCGGCAAATTTTTTTATATTCGCGCGTTGCTAATGACGCGCGGTTAATTGACAACCCGCGTTATCAAGCGGACGGCCGCGTGAACCGTTCCCGAGATTTTATGAAATTATGGCATTAAGTCTACTTTACATTCACGGTTGTTACAAA